GGGTTTAGGGTTTAGGGATTCTTTTCTAGAAGCCCTAAAACGTAAACCCTCTAGAGGTTCAAAAAGACTAGGGGTGCAGGGCCGCCTCGATGTCTTGGCTGTCAGACCTTAAGCCTGAAGCCCAGCACCCTAAACCCAAAGCCCTAAACCNNAAACCCTAAACCCGAAATCCTTAAACCCTAAACCCTAAACCCTGAACCCTGAACCCTGAACCCTAAACCCTAAATCCCTGAACCCTAAACCCTGTGGCCGGGAGCCCTGAGCCTCCAACCTCCGAACCCTCGAGGCCCTCAACCCTGGACCCTGAATCCCTTAAGCTCTTGGGGTTTAGGGTTTTAGGGCTTTAGGGTTTTGGGGCTTTAGGGTTTTGGGGTTTAGGGTTGAGGGTTTAGGGTTTAGGGTCTTGGGGTTGACCAGGAATAAGGGTGTAGGGTTTAGAGAGTCATTGGCTGTGGTTAGAGTGGCGATCCTACCCATTGGGCGGTGGGTTCACGGTCTGCCCTAAACCCTAAACCATGACCCCCAAAACCTAAAACCCTGAACCCTGAATCCTAAAACCCTAAAACCTAAAACCCTAAACCCTGAAACCCTAAACCCTCAACCCTGAAACCCTAAAGCATTGAGCGGCTTAGGATTGCAGGGTGGTGCAGGTTTCGGGGTTTAGGACTTTTCGGGACTTTTGCTTGAGGTTTAGCAGTTTGACGGTCTAGCAATGTAGGGTTAAGGGTTCCGAACCCAACCGCAAAACCCAAACCCCAAACCATTCAAAAGAAGCCTACATGAGCCATAGTCTTTAACGAAATCGTCATCCGTTGAGGTTCCGCGAGGGTGGTGCTGCACCGCCCAAGAAGAAGGCGGTCGCAAGGGGCATTTTTCGAGGGTCTGAGTTGAGATCCTTGTGATTTATAGGTGTTCAGGGTTTAGGGTTTAGGGTTCAGATCTTGGGGGTTTAGATTTTAGGGTGTACGGTCTGGGTTCGTGGTGCAGGGTTTAGGGTTCAACACTTTGGGCTGTCATGGGCTGGAAAAGCCAACCACGAACCTGCACACCTGCAGTCCAGGGCTGGCTTTGTGAACGGGTTTCCGGTCGATCTACTTTGGGGTTTAGGGTTTAGGGTTTAGGGGTTTAGGGTTTAGGGTTTAGGGCTTGGAGTTGAGGGTTCTTTGAGGTCTAAGATCTTCGAACCTTGCAAAACGCGTGATCCTCCTCCAGCTAACTACTCTCCTGCTCCCAGGACTGCGACTAGAATTTTCGCTACCATTACAGCAACTATCACTACATTAAATACGACATGACAGCAACTGGCTAGTAGAAGCAGAAGAATTGTACTACCGCTTCCGTTGTTGCTGCTGCTAGGACGACGACAACAACAACAAACTGCTGCTGCGGCTTCTAGAGCTACTACTACTACTACTACTACTACTACTGCTGCTAGTACTACTACTGGTACTACACCGACGACGACGATGACTCCGATGCCGCAGACGCCGACGACGACGAGGACGACGACCACAACCACGACTGCAACCACTACTGTACTGCCACTCCTCCACCTTCTAGCACCGCCACTACTATTACCAACATAGGGGCCTGGGGGTTCCTTATTATAACTACTATTAAAACCCGCATCTGAACATTCCGGGTACCGTCCCATGGAAGGCTGCCAAGGCCAACTGAACAGCCAGCGACCCAGTTGTTGATTTCAACAGCTCGGATTCAGTGTCCGCGGTCTTTCGTTTGTTGCGGTTTGAAGTTTGATATTTTTATTCAGGTTTCAAGATTTTCGATCTTAGGATTCTGGGGTTCAGGGTTGCAGGCTAGGGTTCATGGTTCTTGTTGGGTGGGTTCGTGGATTGAGTGATTTAGCAGCTAGCTGTAGTACAACTGCCTCCAAAAGCCTATTCTAAGTTTGAATGATCAAGGCCCTATATATGAAAAACCCTGACAGCAAGCCTCAAAGTGCCCCTTGCGGAAGCCTTACAAGGAACCCTTTCCCAACTATCAAAGCCCCGCAGCCCTAAATCCAAAACAAAGCCCCCCTCCCCCTCTCTCGGTGCTGCGGTTATTCCCAGGTCTGATCCGAACTGACCTGAGATTCTTACGACTGCCGCGGCGGAAAATCTCGAAGATATGGGGTTTAGGATTTGGGGTTTTGGGTGTACCGTTCTTCTTTGAACTGCAGGGATGTACAGGTCTATAGGATTCGCTGGTGAATTTGTGGGGGGCTTAGGGCTAGTAGTTGCTTCCCAGACCCCCGAAAGGACCCAGAAAGTAGATCCCTTAGTGGGGGTTCCTATAAAGACCCTTTAGTAGTATAGGGTCCCAAACAGTTAACCCTAAACAGTTAACCCTAAACCTTAAACAGGGGATCCACGTTTTAGATCCTTCCGGGGGTCTGGGTTGCCACAAGGGTTTAGGGTTTTGGGTTTAGGGTTTAGGACAGATCGGAAGAAATGTCAGGTCTTGGGGACATCTGGGACTGGAAGCTGGATGCCTCTCAGTTTAGGGTCTACCCAAAAGCCCCATAGGAGTTCCTTTTAGGGTTTAGGGTTTAGGGTTTAGGGTTTTTATAGGATCCTAAATACAAACCACGAAACAGAACTGCTACGGGGCCTTTGGGTCGGCCTCTCAGTTTAGGGTCTACCTAGAGTCTCCATTGTAGTTCCTTTTTTTTGGTTTAACCAATTATGTATTCAGGATTTTATAAGGTATCCCCAAAAAGGAGGTACAACGGAGACTACAGGTTGGGCCCAGGGCTCAGGGAGGGCTTCAAGGCGCGCAGGACGGAAGACAGCAGACTCCGATGGCCCAGCTCAGGCTTCAGGATCTTGGGCCCCCTCATCCTTTGAAATGCAACTTCCTGTAGCTGTACCCATAGGCCCCATAGTAGTTCCTTTTTGGGGATTACCTTATAGGGTTCAAAATATGAACCCCCACAAGGAACTTCTATGGGGCCTACCGGTAGAGCCGTAGGGAAAGACTTCAGAAATCCGCTGCATCCGCCACAGGTCAGGTTCTTTGGGCTTCTCCTTTCGCGATTGCAGGTTACTGTTGGAGCTCTACTGGGTTTGGGGTTGCTGCAGCTCTTGAGCGGCGGCTGGGGTCCCTGTTGATCTGCTGGTTGCGGTGGCTGGGGTTGGTGGGCATGTCGACTTCGTTGCTTAACTTCAGAAGACCTTTGTTGACGTGGCGGTGCGTTCAAGCTCAGGGGACACCTGCAATCTCGACGAAGGGCAGTTGCAGGCTCAAGTGGAGCAGACAACTGTAGCATCTCCCAGCGCAGCTACGGTCAGGGCTGGGTATGCAGTCTCAAACGGCCCTGTGGATGTTCAGGCGTGATTATGCAGGATTGATCATGAAGCTTCATGGATTCGTGGACTGACGTGGTAGCTCTTTTACCCTAGATCTGGTACTCTCTAGTGTGATAGGCTTCTGCAAATTAAGCTATATAGTACTTGCCGCGGGCGCACGACCGCTCACAGCGTCGGGCACGCTGCCTGGAGGAGGCTCGAGCCACTTTTGGGGGGACCTGACATGATATGGGTAGTTGTCAAAATTAAGGTCCCTTTTGGGGTACCCTAAATAATAGGTGCCGTATTATGATAAGGACCCCAAAAGGGACCATAATTTTGACAACCACCCATATGGATCACCAACATCTCCTCTTGCAGTCCTTGTATACTACTACGATAGTATTATTCATACTTCCGCGGAACCAAATCATTTTTGAGGCCCTTCAAGAGGGAGTCCGGCCGGCGATCTTTTTTTTTTTGTGGGTTGAGGTTTTCGGATGTGGTCCGCAAGATTGTGAGGGAACAGAACAGAACCCTAAACCCCTAAACCCTAAACCCTAAACCCTATAAACCCTAAACATGGCAGTTATAAATCACTTGGGTCGGATTTCGGGCCGTCGGCTCTGAAATAAGTTCAGGGTTTAGGGTTTAGGGTTTAGGGTTCAGGGTTTAGGGTTTAAGGTTTAAGGTTTGAAGCTGGGAATGCCTCCTCAAGTGCACACAGCTGCCACGACAGGTGGAGTACCGGTACTAGGAGTACTCGTGCTCGTACCCGTCGTCGTGGTCGCAAAAGTAGCAGTGATATGAGGGCCTGGATAAATACTTAGGATAGGGTTTGGGGGTATAGTGTATTATGATTATAGTAAGGAGCCCCCAATAGCCTATTCTAATTGTTAAGGCCCTAAACCCTAAACCCTAAACCCTATAGTGTAGTATAATTACAGTAACGAGCCCCCAATAGCCTAGTCTAATTATTAAGGCCCCTACACTAGCTGAATCCCCAGATCTCGAAAACAATGCGAGCACAAACAGCAGGGTGGCAGAGTCGAAGCCGGAAGGCATTTCTTTATGGGTTTAGGGTTTAGGGTCTAGGGTTTAGGGACACATCATATCCTTTGGGGCTTAGAGCTTCTATAGGGTTTAGGGACATATCCAGGGGGTCTATGTACAAGCTCAGAGGGACTGAGATCCTGAAAACTAAGCACAAAATGCCCTCAACCCCAAACCCATCCCAAAAACCCGAACCTCTGAGCCGTCAAGCTCTTAACCCTGAACCCTCAGCCCTAAACCCTAAACCCTAAACCCTAAACCCTAAACCCTATCCACAAGCCTAGACCCTGAACACCAGACCGCCGAAAGAGAATGTAGATCATCAGCTCGTAAATGCATAAATCCTGAACTGCAACCCCCAAATCCTAAGCCTCAGCCATGCATGTATGTATACACATATACATACATACATACATACATACATACATATATATATATAGACATATATATATATATACATACATATATAAATAAAGCATCAACCGTAAACTCTAGACCGTCAACCTCTTAATTTGTAGAATAGGTCCCTATCCCGAACATCCTAGACCATAACCCCCGGTGAACACACACATACCGAACAAATGTTCACTGAATTGTTCAAGTCTATTCTGTCTAGGCAACTATCTTCCCCAACCATAGTCCGAGTAGAAAGGACCGAGACCGCAGGAGCACACAACCCCTTGTAAGCTCCGTATGGATACGTACCCCATAAGAACACTTAAAACCCCTAAAACACGGGGTCTCCTTCCGAAGGTAAAACCCTCGACCCTGAACCCTCTGACGGTTCAGGGTTTAGGGTTTACCTATAGTCTCGGTTGTAATGTAGGGCCTCAATAGTTAGAATAGGGTTTTGGGGGCTTCCTGATTATATGTATGGTATCATGGGCCCCAAAACCCCATTGAAACCATAAAAGGCCCCTGCATTAGTTGCTTTTCGGGGTCACCTTATAGGATGCTGAAGATATTAACTAGAGTGGCGACTGTGGGTATCCTTCGGGAGGAACCATGGGTTTCGATGTGGTCGCCGCTGAGCGCCTCGCGGCGGAGGCATCTGAGGCGATGAAGGAGGCCGCAATAAACCTTTCGGGTTCAGGGTTTAGGGGTTCAGGGTTTAGGGGTTTCGGGGTTTAGGGTTTTTGACACTCCAGAGCTGTTTGGTTCTAGAGGGAGTTCTGGGGCCTTGATTGCTGTTTTTCATCGGTCGTTAAAGGGTCCGATAAGGTGTTTCTTTGTATATTGTACCGATGTTGAACCCAAGGTTTAGCGTATAGGTTCATGTCAGGTTTCTACAAGGGCTTTCGGCTCCTGAGTTTGAGGTTGAGGAATTTTTCTGTCACTTTTTCGAGCAAGTAGTGGAGATCAGGATGTTTCTTTGTTCAAGAGGTAGTCGTAGTCTTTTCAATGTTGGTACAAGTTTTTCCGTGCCAGAAGTGAATATTGGCATTACTTGTACGGTGTAGTCTCAGAACACACGAATGTTGGTCGTGTTTCTACTACAGTGATGGAATTTAGAGAGCTGTTGGGGGCTAGGAGTAACCCTAAACCCTACCTAGACCTCCAAAAGTAGGTGAAATACTGGCCCAACACCTTTACAAGCCTATTATTTTGCATACTTTTGGAGCCCACAAACCCTAAACCCTAAACCCTAAACCCTAAACCCTAAACCCTTTTTTAAAATATGGCCCGGATGCCACCGGATTTGGATCCGGGAGCTTTACTGCGCAAGGGACCTTGGGGACCTTTGCCGTGACTGGGTTGGTTTAGGATTCTGTAGGGTCCTGGCTCGGCTTTGGGTGGTTCGGCTGGTTTCTATCGTATATATATATATATGATATGATATATATATATATATATGATATATATATATATACACACACATGCACACTATCCATATGTTTACCAGATGCAATATAGCATGTATGTATGTCTGTTTGTCTTTCTGTCTGTCTGTCTGTCTGTCTGTCTGTACGTATGTATGTATGTATGTATGTATGTATGTATGTATGTATAACGAGCTAACTAACTAACGAACTAACGAACTAACGAACTAACTAACTAACTAACTAACTAACTAACTAACTAACTAACTAGCTAACTAGCTAACTAGCTAGCTAGCTAACTAACTAACTAACTAACTAGCTAGCTAGCTAACTAACTAACTATCTCTATATTTATCCATCTATCTAGCTATCTATATTCGGAAGCAATCAAGAGGGTTTAGGGCTTAGGGATGTTATGGTTTATGGTTTTTAGGGTTTCGGGTTCAAGCGCGAAGCTCGAGCAATTCTCCAGGAGGAAAGTCGGTGCTGCTTGCCCCAAGCATGCGGACGACAA